GATGTCTGTGAATCCATGAAGCAGCAGCTCTTAGTCTTGGTGGAATGGGCTAAATACATTCCTGCCTTCTGTGAGTTACCACTGGATGATCAGGTATAAGTTAAAGAAATTGTGACTGCTTTAAAAATGTGTTTTCAACTTTGCTTAGTTTTTGTGTTCTTTGCATTGTATTTGTAATACATGTACTATATCAGTCAAGGAACGCATTATCTCGTGAGAAAAGGCTTAGGTTTTCTCATCATTTTACCTTCTTGTTCTGTCAAGAGGCACTACTGCTTGACTTGGATATCAGGGCTCTAGCAAACTACTGACTGGGTAAGAGTTGATCAAGACACTGTTCTTCCTTTGTGGAAGCTTATGTGAAGGAGAAAGACAGATTGCAAATAACTGCTGTCATGAGACAAAGAATTGGAACAGTAAACATCTGGGAAGTAAATGCTGTGGTGTCCTGTCTAGGGTTTCCTGAATGTACCCTACAAAACTCTTCAGAAATAATCTCAGACAAAAACCAAACAGAATGGGTCGGTGTTGTTGTGGACACTTTGTACAATTAACGTATCAGTTTCTCCGGTCATGCTGTCAAATTTATTCTGACATTTATTGTATAAAAAGTATGGATCTGGCAAAAATGTCTATAGAATCATGATCAAAAATCTACAGAGAAACAGAATTTAGATATAATCATCTTTTCCTAACATATAGTTTTATACTTTTCATATGTATATTAACACATTTTAATTAATAATTGGGAACTTGAATTTCTTAATTAAAGTATGAAGATTCAATTATTTGTTTCAGATGCATCTTGAACTCTTTCTACTAAGTAATGTAAAATTTTTGTAAATGAAAGTAATTTGAATATTTCTATTTCTGTCATATTGAAAGAATAAGTCAAGATATATCTAGCGTATATTTATTTATATACTCTCAGATCAGTGCTCTTCATTGGTGATACAAAAAAACAAAGAAACAATCAAAGAGGCCAGGAAAGGGCATGAGTATGTAAAAATCAAAGAAGGAAAAATATTTACCCAGCCAAAAAAATAATCATTGTACATTGTTAGGAGTAATATTTCTTAGAAAACATTTCACCTGGTGACGGGGGAAAAAAATCTGTGAATCTGAAATCATTTTAAAAATGTTCTGTAACTGCCTTCCTGGAATGAGTCACGGTTATTGACATGTCATAAAGATAGCTTGGCCCAGAAGGTTATGCCAGAGTGAATAATGCTAAATTGCTAAAACCTACCAGTCTCACCCCAAGCAATATAAGTAGGGTTGTGTTAATTATCAGTTTTATATTTTTATTATCATTCTTCCTTAAAAGTTGCTGACTTATGAGTGAAGACATTTTAAATATTGAGAAACTGAAATTCAATATCTAGTCAATTAAGTTTCATTTGCTAACTGATACTTAACATTAAAAGTATAATATTAATAACCATGAAATAGTGCATATTTACTATGGGTAAGGCACTGAGGAATTAGATTTCAAATCCATTGTCAATTGCACTGTCTTATTTAATCTACCAGAAGCTCTATGGTGTAGGTGTTATTTACATTTTACAGTTTCTAAAGCTGACCTCTAAACAGTTAAATTCATCAAATAAGCATATATTAGGAGACTACTGTTCAATTTTAGGAACTGGATATTCTGCAGTTAAAATGTAGATTGCCTCACTAGCTCATAAAGTTGATGTCCTAGGTGGGAGAGACAGACAATAAAAAATATGTAAATTATGAGTAAGTTAAACTAGGTGGGGATAGGTTCTATAAAATACTATATAACATGGAGTAGGATAAGTTGTAGAATGAGTAGGGGAGCCATGGAAAGAGATGCTTTAATGTGCGAATTAGAGAAGATATTTGCTGAGACATGAATTACAAGGGGCCAGCATCCCAAGAGTAGAAGAGAAAGCATTCTGGGCACAGGAACAGCACGTTCAAGGTTCTGAGTCAGGCGGGAGCAGTGTGATCTAGGAGTGTTGCTTGATAAAGCCAGAGGCATGGGGGTGGGGTGAGGAGACAAAGCATTACACCACCAGACTCCTCCTACCACCTGTGAGGCTGTGACCTCAGAGTTTGAGTTTTATTCAAAGGACAACCAGAAGCCACTGATGAATTTTCAGCAGAGGAGTGATATTAAATGACTACTGTTTTGCAAATATTACCTTCAAAGCTCTGACAAGAATGAAGCAGGAATATGTATTTGAATGTATTCAGGTGGCCCAGCTGAAAGTTGACAAAGGCTTGGACTGGGGTCAGCAGGCAGAATAGAAAGGAAATGAATAGCAGTGGATCCATTTGGCTTATTTTTTGAAAAGCAGCCCAAGTATTTGCAAAATACAGAGTCAAAATAGACTCCTGTTTGATTGTAAATAAGCACTTTGGATGATGGTCCCATATTCTAAGGTGATGATGAAGGCCTCAGACAAGCATTACTTTGGGTTTGAAATACTCCCTCTGCTTCCTAGTGGTGATGCTCAGAATGCAACTGTGTAAGTGATGATCAGTGAGAGTTCAATACAGAGCCATAGTCTCAATCTGGAAAGTGGGAGGACCCAGACCTCTATCCTTTTCTCACTATCCTTTTCTCAAGCTCTTGCTTTTCTTTTTTATAATTCAGCTTATTATGTGTATTTTATTTAGTCTGCATGAGTATAATTTGAGATTATTTTAATCATTACCTCCATTTTACAAATGAATACACATGAATCCCAAACACATTGGTCAATTTAACCAAGGTTACATAAGTAGTAAGTATCCAGCCTGGGATTTGAAGTCTGTTTGATGTTGTTTTTCTCAATATCAGTAGAGTTGGCTGCTCTACTTTTCTTCTCCTGCCATTCTACTGACTTGCTAGATACTTTTAGAAATTTTGATAAGTAAATTATAGGCAAACTAAAATAGAAAGCTAGGTTTATGATGTCAAGTATCTATGAATATTAGTTTATTAGAACAAAACAATAACAAAAATGTCCCAGGCTTAAAGAACATTGCAAGTTGATTAGATTCATATTATGCAGTCTTTTAATCATTACAGTTTTAAATTAATTGTTAAACTTGGAACTTTTCATTAAGGTGGCCCTGTTAAGAGCGCATGCGGGGGAACACTTACTGCTTGGAGCTACAAAGAGATCCATGATGTATAAAGATATTTTGCTTTTGGGTAAGGTTTCTTCTAATTTAAGGAGAAATTATGCATATTTTATGCTTAAAATAAAATATAAACTCTATATTCTGTATGTACCAACCATTTACCATGCTATCACTTCACAGATCTGATTTAATTGATTCTGTCCTCCTTCAGCCCTAATTTTCCTTACCTTGATGGCATATAAGTTCACAGTGCATGAGATGATTGGAGAGCATCAAGTTTTAAAAATGTAAGCAGATGTTGTTCGCTAAGCATATTGAGATAAGCTTAAATCTTACCAGGATAAGGAATTAATGATTTAAATGACCACCTCTGGAGTCCAAATATGTTTCTACACTCCATTAGTCTCTCCATAATAATTATTTTACACTTTTTTCTCTATAATATCATTGTCCATAATATACCATTAAATCATCATTTAAAACAAATTGGTGGCATTATTTGAAGAATTCTGATAGATACAAATGCTAGAAGAAGGAAAAACTAGGTTAGTACCTGGAGAAGAGGAAAGACACAGAGGAAAGCTTTGCTATTCATTAAGTAATTATTCCAATCCCCACTTTACTTAACTCATAAAATTAGGATTTGAGGGTTGAGAGTCTTCTATTGCTATTCCTTTTACCTCTTTCTGCTTGTGCAAAATGATTTTATATTTTTGTGTGATAAATATTTTGGCTCTGAATATGAATGAATGCAGCACAATATAACAATAGCTGATACTTCTGAAGGGCTTATGACACATATGCTCTGCTCTAAGTGCTTTACACGTACATATACACATTCTCAGTTAATCACTGAACTAAGAGCTGTTCTGTGCAGCCTATTTTCAGACGAAGAAATAGAAGCAGACAAGTTTACCTATGGTACAAAGCTAGGGAAAGAGATAGAGTTCTAAACCATACAATGTGACTTCAGAGACTATGCCTTCAAATTCTATTAAATACTTCTTTTGCATTTCTAGTAAATACCTCAAATGCTGTTTGTTTCCACTATGGATCTGAATATAGCATACCCTAGAAATAAAGTGTCTGCTGTATTGTTCTAAATTATTTTACCTTGAATAATTAGGTAAGCTAACATTTCCTAAGAAAGAGTTAGGCTCAAAATAAGGTCAAATGTAAAGTGACCCATATAATGATTAGCTCGATTAACATATTTTGTGCTTTCATTGGATACAATATTTTTGTCCAAAATCCAATAATAAAGCTGGGGAAAAAAGGAGTAAGCTTACATTGAATGAATACACTTGGACATGTTGTTACCCTGAAGATTCTTGTTAATAAACTTTTCATGACTCTGACAAAAATATTTGGGATGTTAAATTAAAAGAAGGAAAGGTTTATTCTGACTTATGGTTTCAGAGAGTGTGACCCTGTTGCTTTAGGCTACAGTGGTATAGTACACCATGGTGCAGGAATGTATGGCAGAGGCTTATTCAACTTGTGGTGGGGCAGAGACAGAGAGACAGCGGGACAGACAGAGAGGAGAGACAGAGAGAGAAGAGACCAGGGTCCATCCTAATGGCTATTTCTTTCCATAAAGCTCTTCCTTCTAATAGATCCATCACTTCCTAATAATGCTATGGTCTGAGACCAAAATTTTGATATATTGACTTTAGGTATTCAAGATCTGAACTAAAACAATTGTCTTTGCTGGAATGGTAGAATTCAGAAATTCTACATTTGTTTTAAAACCAGAAAATAGTAGTTTAGTTATATTTTACAAGCTATCATATTAATTATAATATAATAGACAATTTTTGAGTTAGAAAGATCTTGGGGAATTGCGTAGTCCAGCTCTCTATTCAATTTCTCAGCACCCTTGGATGCAGCACTATAAAATGATTATCCCACTTCTAGCTAAGGAAACCCAGGAAGAAGAACAGGGAAGATACATTCTAATGTGACAACTCAAGAGAACACATGTACTAATTTTTAAAAATCACCCACTTAGGCTTGTTAATCCTGGGTGTCAACAGTTCTTACTCCTTTATAGGCCTAGAGCACCAAAGAATAGCTGTTTTAGTCCTCTGTGAGCAAGGAAAGTATTTTAGAATTTGTTTTGTGCTCACTAATAAGAAACTAATAGGGCCGTGAATTTAGCGTAGTGGCACTGGACCTGCCTTGCAATCACAAGGTCCTGAGTTCAATCTCTGGTACCACAAAAACAAACAAACAAAAAAACAACTAATAGATGACAGATAAATAGGAAAGCAAACCAGTATATTTTGACTCTCCTTTGTCAATTATTAACTTTTGATTAGTCTGCACTTTTGTGTCATCACTAGTGACTGAGGCTGTTAAAATGCATGTAATCACATTTTCATCATTATTGATCCTTTCAGTATTTTTTTCTCATCACTAACCTAACACTGTTGAGAGAGCATTTACTAACATTATTGTTTCAAGAGCAGACCCTTTCAAATACTGATGTGTAAAATTTAAACAATGTTTGACAATTTGGCAGAGGAAATGGATGATTTTTTTTTTCTTTCAGGAAACAACTATGTTATTCACCGTAACAGCTGTGAAGTTGAAATCAGCCGAGTGGCCAATAGGGTTCTCGACGAGCTCATCAGACCATTCCAAGAAATCCAGATTGATGACAATGAGTATGCTTGTTTGAAGGCAATTGTATTTTTTGATCCAGGTTTGTTTTCAAAATCTCATTAATAACTTACTACAATGAAAGTTGAACTAGTTTTTTTGTATTAGAATATTTTCTGTCATACTCTAGTCAGATTAAATCTTCAGGTTGACCTTTTTATGCCTTTGTTAGATGCAAAAGGGCTAAGTGACCCAGTGAAAATTAAGAACATGCGGTTCCAAGTGCAGATTAGTCTGGAGGACTACATCAACGATCGTCAGTACGACTCACGGGGCCGTTTCGGAGAGCTTCTGCTGCTGCTGCCCACGCTGCAGAGCATCACCTGGCAAATGATCGAGCAGATACAGTTTGTCAAACTTTTTGGCATGGTCAAAATTGACAACCTACTTCAGGAAATGTTACTGGGTGGTGAGTGCATTGAAGGATTTCCATGTTATTGACTAGCATGACTATAGATCGATTATAACAAGTTTGCCCCATTCGTTTACTTTTGTCCAAATTTATTTCATGTTTTGAAGTTGTTGAATGTTCCAGCTTTTCATGTCCTCTGCCCTGATGTATTAAATTTATTTTATTACATTTAGAAAATCTACAAAACCCAATGGAGAGGGATAAAAAAATACCTGAACAAATCAAATCCTCATCTTTGTCAGCCTCCACTATCTTTTCTGCATACAATTCCCTTTTACTTCACTTTTCAGTCTTCCAAGCATAGAAAATAGAAATGCATTTTCCACTTTTATAGCCTCTTGAAGTATATTGTTTTTTATTTGCCTAATTCCTTTAAAACTTTAAGATTACAGAAATTGCAACACAGCCAACTATTTAGTTGACAAGGAATAGTAGAACAGGAAAATGAGATTTCAATGCTGTAATAAATGTCAGGAAGAAGTCGGAGAATCATTTATTTTAAGTTCTGATATAGATTAAATTCTTTATAAAATCACTGTATTATTTTTAGTACTCTGGTGCTTAATGTGTTCTTAATGATATCTTTCTGAAATAAAGGTTGGTCATGCCATTAGGGTGATGCCAAGTATTATAAACTTGATGTAAGCAATTCTTGGAATTGTCTTAACAGTCAGGAAGCCTAATGATTCCAGGAAATGATGCATACGGTCTGTTATTAATATGCAACATTATGATGCAGCATTAATCTATCCAGTGTATAGTGAAAGCTGACATTGACTTGATATGGCAGTACTTCTACCAGTTCATTTTTAAATTCTCAAAGAAGCACTTTGCAAATATAGCAATATGCAAGATGTCAATCAAAATATCTGTGCCAAGGTAAACTTGCTGTTCCTTATAAACATCACTAATGCAATCATCTTTTTATTTTCTGTAGGTGCCTCCAATGATGGGAGTCATCTCCACCACCCAATCCACCCACATATGTCTCAAGATCCACTAACTGGACAAACTATACTTTTAGGTCCCATGTCAACACTGGTTCATACAGACCAGATCTGTAAGTACCTGGGCTACTTTCCTATATAACATTTCTTAACCATTTGAGAAAAAGTGGATTTTTGGAGAATAACCTATTATTACCCAGAAATTGCAAAAATTGTAGTTCCTCTGCAGAATTTTATTGTGGGAGTTTGTAATAGCCACTTATTTTCCCTGGGTATGAATTTGCTGCCTAAACTAAAGATATAAGAACTTAAATTTTTTCATAGCCTTAGGGAGCACAAAAGATTATACAGGTAATACTGGCTTGCATGGTGGTGCTCAACTACAAAAATAACTATAAGAGCTAAAACCATGTCCAGGAATCCTAAAAATCAAAAGGAAAATTATGCTTCCTTATGATCATTAACAATGTCAAAAAATTAAGACTGCTTTTCATTGCGGAGTATAAATGTAAAAAGAAATTTTAGAAAGAATACTGATATTTATTTTTTAATACATTGAAATTTAAGAAAACAGTATTTGAATATTTGTAGAAACTTTATCAATAGTTTGATCAGTGTTTGCACTTTCTCTTATAACTTTTAATAGGAAATGAGCATCCTTTCCTTGTCTCTTACTCATTTGGCAGTTTGAATCAGCTTCCAATGTTTTATTGTTTGTATGTTCAATGTCCTGGAATATCTCTAAGAATTTGTTTTGTGTGAAGATTTTGTTGATTTTACTTTCTCTTGAGTATCTTTGTCCTTATCATCACATTCAGTTTCTTCACTTATATGGACAAGTTTTGCCCTATCTATCTATCAATCAATCATTCTATCTATCTATCTATCTATCTATCCATTCTGGAGATTGAATTCAAGCCTTTGCCTATGGTAGGCAAGGGCTCTATCACTGAGCTACATTTTTTCCTTAGTTTTTCTTAAGTTCCTACTTCCATCTCTAAAGATTCAAACATAGGCAGAATCCATATTCCCATGTTTAGCTACTTCTTCAATGATTCCATTTATGTTCTGTTTGAATGTTACTTCTAGCCTTATCATGCCTTACATGTAGTTTTGCTGTACTTTCACCTTTGTTGGGCAGTTCTCTTTCAATGATCTATTTTTTGGAAAATTTACATTAAATTTATCACTAGAAGAGAAAGAATCAGTGCAACTCTACACTAAAAGATGGTCAATAACCAATCATGGGTGGACTGAAAGGAGTGACCTGATCTGTGACTAATCACAGGACTCATTTATTATTTAGAAAATTGTTTGTGGACTGAGTGAAGTTTGTATTCATGCAGTTACAGTTAATTGTGATTTACAAAGGAAACTAAAATTTGAGAAGGTTGTCAGAGTGGTACAATTTAATTAAGCAGTGGTAACTGGAATTCCTGTATATCAAAAGTGTGCAAACTAAGGGCTAGTTAGGAAACTCTAGAACTCAAAAGACTATATAAACATTTGTTGTTATTAGTAGCTAAGTGAATTGTTTATTATTTCAGCTTTAATGCAGATTCTATTTTTGTAAGTTACTTTGGGGACAAAAGGCGTATTTGAAATATATGTAGAATTAACTGAATAATTCTCCTGAACTTATACTAATTAACCCAGATTTAATTTGATCAATTGCTTCTGGATACCAAACCAGCTAAATCATTGAGATGACTTGAGTTATTGTTACATAATTATTATACATACTATAAGATCTACTAAATTTACAATAGTCTTTAATAACTAGTTACAGTGTTATTTTATCCAAATGTAATACAACAACCATTTGGGGAGTACCTTCTGGTTACTGGCTAGTGGAGGAAAAGTAGAGGCTACAGAACTGCCTGTTATTATGCTCTCCTTTATATACAAGCAATGTTAGACCCTTGGGTAAATTGTATCCAAAACACAAAATTCTTTGAGTTTATGAAGGAGAAATGAAATTGTTTGGAAAAATTATAAACCCTGGAAATACTATGGAATGATTTATCTGTGATCCCCAATGTATTGGAAGGCCATTAGTTTGGGAACATTATTTGCAAAGTGCAGAGAGAGGAGGGTCCAGTGCTATGCCAATAAGTCTGTGAAATTTTTCCTCTTAGAACTCTGTTATTCATAAACTTGGGAACTAAAACATATTAACAACAAATTAAACATTGTAGAGCTTAGCTGGCAACAGAATTTGACAGTTCTGCTGGTGGTAAAATCCTTTACCTTTTAAATCCTAGTGTTCTAGCATTTAAAGAAACATCTTTACTGATCTTAATATTTTAAGAATGACACCCTCTCACTTTTTATTTGTTTTTCATCTTTCAACATAATATTTATGAGAATCATCTGTAAAGAAAAACGTGTTTTTGCTTATCCTCATTTAAAATATTTAAATAGTTAAAATGTCTAAAATTTTTATTCAAAGGAATACATTACATTCATTCAACAAAAATTTAAGTTCATGAATATTTTCTTCCCTTTTTAAAGAAGACCACTACAATTTTAAATATATTTTAAATATCCAGAAAGAATCTAAAAAGCAAATTCTTTTTTGTCAGTTAAATTCCTTTTAAAATGATATTCCTAATAAATATTTATTGCATGCTTAACAAAAATACAAAATGCATTAAGGAACACCAAGTGAAAATAAGAAGTTCTTTTAATGTAGGGTTTTTAAAACTGAGAAAAAAAATTACAAAGCTTACAAGGCTATAGTCTAATCAAACATTATCTATTAATTGTGTTAAATATATAGAATAATAAATGTGTTATGTAATAATAAAACAAAATATTTTAAGTCCTTTAAAATTATAGAATAGCTCCTAGCTTATTTTATAATATGATAAAAATTCACAGTTGGAAGAAATACTATTTTAGACAATGAAGTATTCAAACTATAATCTCTATATATTCAATTCCATTTTTAAATTCAATTATTTTTCATTCAACTACTCAAACTTGTTCTTTGTATTGAAGGGGAAAGGACAGGCCAGCTCAATTTTTTTTTAAGCCAGGTCAATTTTGATAGAATAATTGTGAAGCAACAAAGTTAGTTTATTTTGTATGCTTCTGATTACAGCTTGGATTTCCAAACACTTGCAATGTATCTTAACTTTAATTTTTATGTCATTTAATATATCTGAATTAATGGACTCCAAAACAAATATATTTTAATTTTGTATGCATTTTGATTTCAAACTTTATGATTGTATTCTAATTGCAAAAAATGACATTTTAGGACTTCTATTCACAAACTTTTGGGTTTCTTGGGGAATTAAATGTTCATAAATGCTTTTAACTTTTAAATGCATTTGACTTTTAAAGTTACTCTGAAGATTTTTTGACTTGATCTAATGCTGTTTAATGGTAATTGGGAATCTTCTAAAAACATTTTTTAAATATAGTTATGTATGTTAGTATTGTGTAGGGTTTAGTGAGGTGGGCAGGTTGGCTGCTACCATCACATACCGTTCTCTGCTTCTTTTCCAGCAACTCCTGAAACTCCACTTCCTTCCCCACCACAAGGCTCTGGACATGAACAATACAAAATAGCTGCAAACCAAGCTTCAGTCATTTCACACCAG